GAATCGGCTGCAAATCTCACTTCAACGCTTTTCACATCGTAAAAATTGCAGAATTGCTGTTTTATTGTTAAATTATCGGATTTAAAATGCATATCGTATAGGCCTATGATGGAATAAATACATATTTGGTCACACAAAATTTGTTTACAAGATGATTTTTCACATTAAAACTGCAAGAAACTTTGCTTTGATTTGTGTAAACTAGCTGATCTGAATTGTACACGGTTTTAACTGACTATGACTACTGAATTCCCGTACGTAGGACGGGCTAACACCTCGTGATGAGTTATAGCAAATGTTATTACCCATCAACCTGGTCAGCAACAAAAAATAAGGTATAAAATATCATTTTAGACACTAGCGCATTCTGTGACTGGCCCACACAATTACATTCTTTTTTAATAAAAAATTGGCTACAGCTGGTCCATATAGGTGGGAAGTCTATTTCAGTATCCAATAGTCAAAGGTTTTGCTCAAGCCACTTCAGACCAAGTGGACGGTTTAAGGGCTATGAAAAATGAGCACGTATTACAAAAGCTACGTGTTATGAGTCGTATTACAGTATATAATACTTTTGGAGCAGTTTAACCCTCCTAAGATGGCCTTTTATAGTCCAAAATCGTATTAAGTAAAACATATAATGTTACTGTCTTAATAATTTTCAATTGGAACTAATTGTGGTTTTGTGAGTATATTATATCCCATATTATCATTATATTATATTATCATATTATACAAATATATTATAAATGTATATTATATCTTAAGAAATCTATCGTGTTCAAATAATACAAAATATGATACTGCTTTTACTTATAAACCTTATTAACGACTTCACCTTGCGTTTCATGAATTAAAATCGTTTGGTTCTTCAGATTTAACGTCATATGGGCCCAAATTCTTCAATTTTAAATTTAAACTGTATGGTCGAGTTTGTCTGCATAACAAAGAAGTATTCTTTTCTGTTCGTGCTTAGCAGAAACCTGAATACAGTTATACAGGTTAACAATGATTTTATAAACACTATACATGCATCGGATGGTTTAAGCATACTTACATTTTCGAAATCCATAATAGAGACCGCAATGGCTTTAAAATTCCCATAAAAGCTATGACAATAAAGCGTAATTGACTAAAGTTAAATAGAACATTTATCGAAGCAGATATGCGAGTAGATCAGTTTACCGGCAAAGCTCTTTTGGTATCCATTCAAGCTAATATCCGAAGTCTAATAAACATTTTCAAAAATGTGACTTTAATTACGACCACTTCAATGAATATCCCAAATGGTTGAACTTTTGACTATGGTTGTACATAATTAAACAACTTTTGCTTACTATTTAGTAGTAACAAACGTTAAAAATATAATTATGTCATGATCCTTTTGGCTTGTCATCCAGTAAAGTCCAATAATATTCTAATTGCTGTGAATTGAATTATATTTTTCATTCTATCTCTCTTTTCCGGGTAAATTTGTAGATTTGTGAAATTGAGATTTGTGTGTGTCTTGAGCGGTATGAAAACATAGGGTAAGCTTGTCATACATTACAACTGCATTAAAACACACTAAAACATATTTGGAATATCCAGAGTTAAATGTTGTAACCAGCGGTGTTTGGCAGGACTTCAACCCGGGCCTTCCACCACCTACACCAACAGGTATTGTGGTCTTTCCATAGGACCAGCAGTGATGTAACAACATACTGTTAAAGATGTTTCTAAAATAAGAATGTTTTATACTATGTGCTCGTTGGTTTTACGTGTTAACAGTATATGGTTGGTTATCTTATTAATATAAATTGTAGATTACTTCTGTTGTATAATAAGGAATAAACAGATAAACTACACAGTATACAACTATGTGATTGCAGTTTTTGTAATGTAAGTAAGCGAGCAGAGAAAGCAAACAATGTGAGGTCGGAATTCAAATTAAAATACCAAACACAAACTAACATTACAACTGAGCTGGGATCGTATGTATAAGCGGTTTGCTTCTTGCAAATCCTGTTTCTGTGGTATTTTGTAATATTAGCCCACCCAAGGGTCATTGAAATGCTTAATCTTACTAATATTATAAATCTGAAAGTTTGTGAGTTTGTGTGTGTGTTTGTGTGTGTGTGTGTGTGTGTGTTGCTCAATCACGCATAAACTACTGGACGGATTGGGCTGAAATTTGGCATGATGATAGCTCACATTCCCGATTAACATTAAAGCATATTATTATCCCAAAAATCCTTTCGGGCTCCGCCCCAGTGGCTCTGTAGTTCCCCATGTTAACCTTATGGTTTTTCATATTTAATAGGAATTAATGAATCTTAACAGCTGTTTCAATTAAACAAGCTGGTTCTGTTCTATGATGTTCAATAGCATAAAAGTTACAAGGATTACCAACAGGGTGTAGCATTATTATTTTTATTTTTATTTATGACAACAGCTAATTTCCAACCAAAAGGTGAGTGAGCGTAGCGAACGAACTTCAACCTGGAGGCGAGTTAGCGTAGCGAACGAGCTAACCTGAAGGCAAGTGAGCGCAGCGAACGAGCTCCAACCTAAAGGTGAGTGAGCTTAGCAAACGAACTTCAACCAGGACGTGAATGAGCAATGCGAATACTTATGAAGTTAAACGGGGCAAAGCCCGCGGGTACAGCTAGTATTTTATATATATTAAAACGTGTGGGGTTTTTTTTTTCGAAGATCAACCACGTGAAGGATTTTCATGATTGAAAATATTTGAAATAGTACAAAACATAATTATAATTTGGGATTTCTGTTTCAAAGAAATTAATTATTTTTACGTTATGCACCGACTAATATTTTAAATTTGCTGAAGTGTAATATTGCAGCAAAACATACGTTTTCAATAATATGGTGTACATCTGAAGTAGCAATTTCACTCCATTGGGAGTTAAATCCTTTCCCTAGTTTAGTGCCTAGCGAGTAAAAGTCAGCTTTTGTAAACAGTTTTAAATTTCAATTGTAAGCAGTCGCATGGATTGAAATTATTTATTGATTGAATCAAAGGTTGGGGGTTAGCTTATTGTTGCATTCTTGTCATATAGTTCGACATATCGATGGTATAATTTAAAATGTATATTTCTGGTATATCACAGTATTAATGTATGCAGTTTTTTGTTGTTACAAACCTGTTTAAATTTACTCAACAACCAACTTGAAAATAACTTAATCTACAGATTTGCTATATGGTTATAAGTACATTAAAATAAAAATGATAAACTCCTTTATTTTTATTTCGTATTTTATTAAGTAAAGGAATCAAGCACTATTCATAAGCAAATTTTATTTTCAAATGCTCCACATAATTTGCATATTAACTTGTGGTTGGTATATTCTAAGTGTAGCTACAGGGGCCAGAACACTGCCTGAGAAAGTGTTGTAGATTCTGGAGCTAGCTTATCAATTATATATTTTTGTACAATGTTTGGAGTATGTTTGGTAACAGCCTCTTTACGCATTTTCACCTGAAATCGTAATCGTATAGTGTTATTTTTTAAGTAAACTATTTGCAATTACTATTTTAACTACTCTTTAACTATTTATCACACCGGAAAAATCTACATATACTAAAGGAATTTCTATAACGCACATTATAAATTTGGATCAAGTATCATGATTGAAGATCCCAAAAAGTTATCCTAACTCGAATTTGAGAGTTAAATTTGACTTTTTAATGTAGAACAGCTACTGCAACCCTTTCTATTATATTTTATTGTTTAGACTTTAAAAATTAACTTATCCACTGACATTTTAACCTTCATTTGACGGGTCACTAGTATCATAGTGGTGTATATTCAATGCTTTCAATATACTGTATTCAATGCTTCAATGCTTCATATAAGCTTTGTGATTGCATTTACAATACGTCACTTTGTAATCTAATATGAAACCATACAATGAAACATCTTCACTATGTAGGAACCTTTTCCATGAACTTTGTCACTACGACTTTTTACCACACAGAGATTATAACTATAAACTACATATTACTAGTCGTAAAGTATGCATTTACATGCATACATGTTGTAACCCGATAGTTAACAGACTCCAATATGACCTAGATACAAGGGTCATAAAAATCCTGTTTGGATTTTAACGAAATAATACATAAAACATTAAATAATGGTTATATTTTTGCCAAACCAATTTGAGCATAAAAGTAATTAAGACTTAATAAAATGTTAATGTCGAACGATTCTATTTTTCTTAGTTTTACTGCCACAGGTTCAAAGCATAAATGATAACCTTGCAATTAAATACAACAATATTGCAAAATGTTTTCATTACAGAAGTTTCGAAGAGTGCACACATAGAAATATTGAAAAACACGTCCATTAATTGGAAATGTTGTCAAGTTGTAAATTTTATTGTAAAGACGAGAATGTTTTATTGTTGTAATAAACTACGTGCTGTCATTAGATAGTGACACCAAATGTCAGTAACTATTATTATAATTTTTCGACCAAATCAAATGTTTGAAATGTTTTCGTGTTTGTAACTTAATAAGAATGTATCTGACGACCCAAAACAGCCACAGTGATGAAGAGTATTCACAATAACGTGGAATAAAAAAAAATACAGCCTCCATGTTTAAAACCTAGTTGTCTTTCAATAGCAATATAGGCAAGATCACCGTAAAGGTAGAGTTGTTACAGTGCTTACATTAAAATCGGATAGTTACTGATCCAAACTCAATAGGAGTAAATGTATCGGACCCAAATGCAATTAGTCATACCAAACAATGATGCTCTATAGTAAAATGCCTACGTTGGATAGCAACAAGGCCATGATTCAGAACTCCCTTACCAAAACCATCAAACTATTAATGACGTAACAAAACACAAAAATGTGTAGAAGAAAAGTTTTTTAACGTATTATTCAATCGTTCACACAACAATTTATACATTTTTTGAAAGCATATCTCTGACACTCTTACTGTACCTTACCACAAGTAATATTCAAAGGACTCAATAAAACACATCAGAAAAATGTCTCTAATATCTTTTAATGATCACATTATTAAAATTATATCTTACATTCGGTTTAGTAATAAAATGAAATGTTATATATAATGTTCTAGTGATTGGTGCTGCGGACCCCTACCCTGTGATACCCACCGGCTACATGGGATATGATTGGGCCAAAACACATATACTTACTACTACTCGACCTACAATATGCGAATCTAACAGAATAGACTACCGTTGCTACCACTTGGCTGCCGGTCTACCCCGTAAATATGTACATAGGAAAGACAGGACTACGTAAATAAAATTCTTTTCTTGTCAAGAATATATCTTAAATACATTAGGTATAGAAGAATAGAGAAGGAGTTATCACTGTGCGTCCAAACACACGCGTAAGCAATGCAACCTTAAAGTGATACTTTTATTGTTCTTATAGGAAATAGAAAAATAGAGAAAAACTTTCGGTTTAGAGATAAAATATTTTTTCTCCAGGCCGTCTCGAGTGGAGCTCTTGAAAGACCATTTTGGCCTTTTTGGAGCCTCTTGAAGAACACCATCAAAAATTAATACTGCCTCAGTTAGTCTTTGTAATACTGTAATGTTAACTAGTTGGACCTTGAGGGTTTATTTTAAAGTTTACAGTTATTTTCTCTATTGGAAGTTAATTAGATTGAAATAAAGAATAGATAAATATTTTTATCAGTCTAGAAATGTAAACAAATCTCCCACGATTGTCTGTGATTTACTCACACTTTAGCGACAAATTGATGAAATATCTACTGCTTTATTGATTAGCTTGAATCAATTTGTGAAATTGGTTGGATATACTGGTTATTTTTTATCATCCTTTTATAGCTGAAACCAAGTAACTACGGTAAATTCTACTTAATAAATTGTTTTCAACGATTTAGCGGACCGAAAATTCTAACTATATAAATAAATTATCAAGTGGAAACTCAACAACAAAATCTTATTTACTAGGGTAACTTTATAATCACACAAATGTAACAGCACCACAGACAAAGATATTATGTTAGATAGAATAAGGTACTACCCAAAATCATCCGAAGATACATGACGTGGGGTAAACATAGGTTAATGTCTAAAAGCTTGGAGTTACCTGACATTGGTAATACAGTAGCAACTACTGAGATGTTGATATGGTCCTCACTACACAATTACACCTTCACAAACCATCTTCCAACCTCCACCATCCACACTACACGAACGCGGGCTCAAACTCTCGGGGAATCATACAGCGTTTAACGAATAGTAGCTATAAAATCACAAAATTCCTTTACAAGAAAGTCACTCACTCGAATACAGTAGAAAATGATATATTCGTAGACGATTAAATCGAGGTACCTTATTGTTTCGGTTAAATATCGAGTTTGGATGAAAGCCTCTCTCGGTCTTAGTCGCGGACGAAGACGAACTCGTTGTAATGATTCCAACGACTCTCCTCGGCGTCCATGCCGGGCTTGAGGTCGGCGGCGGTCCCTCCAGCCGTGCCGGACCCACAGGACCCAGCCATGTGGAACCCTTGCTCCTGCAGCATGTCAAACGCCTGCTCGATGGACGAGTGCTTCAAGAAGAACCTCGCCGTGTACCTGTCTGACAGGCCGTGGTCAGGGTCTCGACTCTCGTTGAGCGTTTCGCCGAACACGTCGCGACAGAGAGTCACTCTCCCGCAGACCAGGATTCTCGTGATCTTCCGGAACTTGACATCCGCCAGACCGTCACGACCGAACGCGAAGCTCCCGCGGTACCCGATCGTGATGAACCCGGGCTGCTTCCCTGGCATTGGTGTCGGTGGAGTCGTGATCGTATCCACCATCCCCTGGAGGCCGTAGAACACCGCCTCCTGTCGTAGGCGCTCCTTCTCTCGGAAACACTCTGGAAGCACCAACGTCTGGTTGCGTAGGTAGTCCAGGACGTACCGGAAGAGTACACCATCTCTGTCGATGAAGAACTTGCCCTTGGCATCCTTCGGGGGCGGCGCCTTGGTGAAGTAGTTGGCGAGTGTTGACTCAGGGTCCTTGGTGAGTGTGGTGAGTGCTGTCGTGTAGAACACCCCTCCGACGTTCAGCTCGACGACGGCCGGTAGGTCCATGGCCGCCTCTTGTACTTCCATCGCTCTAGCACCCAGCCATGTGTCGTCTGTACAGATCAATACAGCCTCCGTCGTCGCGCAGGCTCCGTCCCTCCCCCTCCTACCACCACCTACTCGCCACCTCTTTATTTTTATCCGATGAATCTGTCTGGAATGCTTTTTCATCACATGCCCTCACACCCTTTAGGAACCCAAACAAAAAGCTTCATTACACTCGTGTTCTTCGTTACCCCAAATTTAATCGTCGACGAGGGCCCCTGACACGCCCTGTTGATGTCCAGCACGCTCTCACAGTTATTATGTACGCTTGTATTATTTATGGGCCCACTCCTTTGGCCGTATCCTTTTCATACTGAGGTTTAACGTCTAAATTAACTCCCTTTTAATGAAACTGGTTTATCAATCTGTAGAAAATCATACGAAAGATTACATGAATAAATTTCTAATATTTTTAACTGTATTTTGTATTGTTTGTAAACCAAATTAGTAAAATCTAAAATGGTTAATTTTATTTAGGTGGTAGCCCATTTGATCATTTAAAAACATCAATTCACATTTACTCAAATCTATTCATTTTTGAAACCTCTCAGCTACGCATTTTGGTTAAAATATTCATTTAGACAGACTATATTTATTACAAACAAAGCTTAGAAAACTGAAATATAACAAAAAATACGGTACATTACTTTACCATTATAAGGACAGGAGACCAAACACATAACATTTTTTTATTTGCCGGGGATTGAACCCGTCGTTTTCTTATCGAAGCCCGAATCAGACTAGAATCACAAATTGAAATCTGTATACCATAAATAAATAACATTTTATTCACACCAGACCTATTTTTGGTGAACCGAGTATTTTTAACCTGACATGTTTGAACGAAGACTTCAATATCTTTAACAAAATGAATCCATTGTGAATCGCAGATCGAAAGAGGTCTATCAGATAATGTACAGTATGATGTTACTGAATGGCCTGTCATGCCTGTCAAGAGAAGTCCGTGTGCAACCCGACATCGCAATGTGAAAGATTGGGATGTTTATTTGGATGTGAGTCCGGTATAACACTATATTGTTTTAACCAACGTTATCACTCTAACTGCTTCGAAATAGCAATATTGTATTTTAATTTGAGAACAATTTTGATTTTTTACAGGCTTTAATCTTTTTTAAAGTCTTAATAGATAATTTGTGTATCTAGTGAAAAAATATTTCTAGCCCAGGTTCTGGTAAGTACTGGATTTTTCAAAAGGGTAAGAAAAATGAATATGACTTTTGAAAGGAAAAAAGTGCAAGTTTGAATGTCGAGTTTTAGGAATCAATTTAGCACTAGCTGATCATGCAACTCCTTAAACAATCTAAGAATGACAGGGTAAAACACCCATAATCATATTTAACATATGTTATGGTCCCCAGAAAATTTCAAAGATTCATATTACACCATTTAAAACAATCATAGAGATTTGAGATAAAGATTCTAAAAACTCATAGAGATGTAGCACAATCCCGTACACAACGTCTCAACCTCTTTGGTACAACACGAAACCACATTTCAGAATACCACAGTACAGCACCTGTATAATCTTACTGAATCTAAGTATACGTTTAGGTTACGTTTAATTTTCAAATTAAACTTAAATATAGCTACATTTTGAAGCCTATATCCTGGGGGATTATTTAAGGGTTTTACGTAAAAATGTATAAAAGACTAAAAATATTGAATGCGTTGTAATTATATTTCTCTGGTAAAATATACAGTGTGGTAGAAAAGTCCCAGAACGGTTAAATATTTTAAAAAATAATGCAGATAGAGCTAAAATACTTGGTAAAAAGTTACAAGGCATAAAACTCTATTTTAACACATATTCAGTGATCCAATAATTCTTCAGGGGGACGGTCCACAAGGAGTCGGAAGAAAATCTTAAATGGAAGCATAGGTCAATATGCACATCAAATTAAAGGTCCTTTTTAGTAGAATATAACGCCGCAAACCGCACTTAAAAAGGTTGATCTTGCGCAAAATGGCAGATGTTCAAAGATTTCTTGAATCCGCCATTTCGAATCTTTGAACGACTGCCATTTTTTACTCAGGCATTCTTTTGAGCTTGAATTTACGGCATCGTAATCTAAAAGTGAAGACCTTTAATTTGATGTGCATATCGACCTATTCTTACGTTTACAATTTTCTTCCGATTGCTAGGGCTGTGCCCCCTGAGGAGAAAGCGTATAATAGAAATGTAAATTAAATGAATATTTGAACAACTGTCATTTTGCGCAGGATCAACCTTTTGAAGTGCGGTTTGCAGCATTGTATTCTGCTAAAAAAGACCTTTAATTTGATGTGCATATTGACCTATGCTTCCTTTTAAGATTTTCTTCTGACTCCTTGTTGGACGTCCCCCTGAAGAGTTATTGAATCACTGAATATGTGTTAAGATAGAATTTTACGCCCTGTAACTTTGTACCAAGTATTTTAGCTCTATCTGCATTATTTTTTAAAATATTTAATCGTTCCGGGACTTTTCTACCACACTGTATACGAGCTACCTTTATGATAAAGTTAAACTCTTGCAGACATGAAATTGTACCGTACACTTTGAATAGTGTAATGACTTGGCTGCGTAAACAACTTTTCCATATTCACTCTAGATAATGTTAGAATGAAATAAAGATAAGTTTAATCTACGGTTGCAGAGCGAAACATTGTTTGAAAGTCATAAAGTATTCAACTGCAAAACACTTTGCTGAGATTCACGATGTTTCTTTCAATTTACGAAATAGTTTTCTTGTTCAGTTCTGTGATTGTAGGTTTCCACTTTGTCCAATGAATATTTCTAGAACTAATAACATTCCATTTAGTTATCAACAGTTCCTTAATCACTATCAATTATTTTGCACAGGACCTTCTTGTTTTGAATATACAGGGTGACAAAAAAGTCTGGAAACGGTTTAATATCTTTTTAACTAAATCCGTTAGAAAATTCAAACCTTTCACATCAACTTACATGTATGAAAACTACTTTTCCCAAGCATTGTCATTTTTTTACCTCTACCATGGGACGACCCATGAGAAGTATGTACATAATCTTTAATGTAAGCATAGGTTGATATGCCATTTTAAAGGGTTAGTCAAGTGGAGTTCATTGCCGGAAACCGCGTCAAAAAAGGTTCATCCGTTACAAAATGGCAGCTGTCCAAAGTTCTTGTGAAATATACCTGCACAGGCCTTAGTGTGGGCAAATACTCGTAATAAACATTAGCTTGAGAGCTTAAACTGTATTTTAAAGTCAACTAGCTCATAGACTAATAGTATTCAATCTTCAAAACAAATTTAACCGGGTTTCAGATTTCCCTGCTAATGTTGACTATGAGTATTTACCAATACTAAGGCCTCTGCAGGTATATTCCGCAAGAACTTTGAACCGCCGCCATTTTGTAACGGATGAATCTTTTTTGACGCGGGTTCCGGCAATGAACTCCACTTGATCATACCTTTAAAATGATGTGCATATCAACCTATGCTTACATTAAAGATTATGTACCTACTCCTCGTGGGCCGTCCCCTGGGGGAGGTCAAATAATGGCAATGATTGCAAAAAGTAGTTTTCATACATGAAAGTTGATGTGAAAGGTTTGAATTTTCTAACGAATTCAGTTAAAAAGATATTAAACCGTTTCCAGACTTTTTTGTCACCCTGTATAATGTATAAATGTATAACAAATATAAGTTACCTAAAGGAAAAATTGTTCGGAATTCACAATTTGTATCAGTGATAAATTCCTGCTACAACAGTTTTGTATAAGTTCAAACACCTAAATAGCTTCTTGGTTAGCACTTTACATGTTAATCGTAACTAAAGTTATTTTCTCGTTGGTATTCTAACGCATTTGAAACGCAAATATACAAAAAGATAAAGTTTAACCCGTAAGTCGAATATTTGTGTAACCTGGCCGGTTGTCCGCACTTGGCAGGAGTGGTCCGAGGGTGCCTGTGGATTCTCGGACTACCGAATACTTAATCTAAAGCTTCATTAATCAATTACCAAGCCACATACATGGTCTAAGGGACGCTGCATTCAGCAGTTCCTTGTTAAAATCAAGTCTGTTCTCTTTAGCTGATCTTTTAATTTATTTCCACTATCTCTATGAAATTCTTGTAAAAGCCTACTACGGATTTTTACAGTGGGAATATTACAAATGTTAAGCTTAAAAATGGATTATCAAAATGGTTTAAATTATATGAATTTGAACGGATGGTGATTTTGGCCTCTGGGGACATCCTTACGATGAGGCCTGTGGTAATAGTTATTCCGTTTATAGGAAATTTGCTACAAAATCAATGTTCCTCCAGTACATCTGTGCTAAAACAGATAGGCTATTCACTATAAAACATTCACAATGGAGCCTATTATAGTAAATGCTTTGAGACATAAAAGACAAGGTGAAACATTTCTCATATCGTATAGCGTGTAACAATTAAACACATTTATCTGAAGATTACATGTGAGATCCTCTGAACTTTCCGATCCTTCGCCGGAGTTAATTCAATTTCCATGTCGTTGACTTTCCTCCCCAACGCTAAATGATACTTGCATCTCACCCAAAGTTTGTACTTTATGCAGTTAAAAAATGCGTGTATGTTTTAAATTTTTAATTAGATGAGTTCAAGAGATAAAAACTTATATAAGACTTCAATTTTATTTTTTTCGTAATGTGTAAAGCGGTTGTTTATAATGATTTTTAAAGATTGTTAGGGGAAATAGAAGTTATTGTTTACTTTCCCAACGTTAATAGTATAAAAATAATAGATTTTGAAAAAATTCACAATTGGTACTTCATTAATTTTTTAAAGAAAGAAGTTAAGTAATAAATTGAGGCCAACTTGATCTCCATGCAAGTAATATAACTTAATATTACATCAATGTACAGTAGTAGAGGAAACATGGGTTTGGGTATAGTTCATGAATTTAATTAGAAAAAGAACAAACAAATAGCATTTTATGTACCATTATATTTTATGTTAAAAACACTTTATGTGCCAAATTGAAATACAGCCT